CTATTCTATTCTATTCTATTCTATTCTATTCTATTCTATTCTATTCTGTTCTGTTCTATTCTATTCTGTTAACATAATCCCTCACAGAGTTTCCTTAGAGAATCTTGAATGAACCATTGAAGAAACCTTCTGCCATTGCTCATTATTTTTAGGGAGAGATATTACATTGTGTCCTCACGATCAAAGTGGAAGATTAAATCCCATATTTGCCTTATTCCAAAGGAATCAATTTTCTCAGATCAGCTGGCTCCTATTTCTCTCCCAAGTCCTGGAAATAATTCCTATCTAATGCATTACACTGTGATATTGATGGGTAGGATGTTGCCTTCCTAAGGAACGGTTGAGTCAAGCTTTATCTGGTAGGTTCTGAATTGACCTTGGTTTCATGTTCAAAACTGTGTTCAACCTTCAGTTTTTGATGCATCATCAACTTTATTTTTGCTTCCCTCCCCCCACCCCCAGGCCTTGAGCTACCTTTCATGATGATGCCCCATCCGCTTATTCCAGTCAGCCTGCCCCCAGCGTCCGTCACAATGGCCATGAATCAGATGAACCACCTTACCACAATTGCAAATATGGCTGCCGCAGCACAAGTACAGGGCCCTCCCTCTCGAATGGAGACATCTGTGATTAAGGTAAGTATGGTCTTGGTCCTGCTCTCAGTGTACCGGTATCTTTCTTGGCCTTTCTGATATGTGTCTTTTGTTAATTAATTTTGTTTGTAAACCATCCAGTTTGGGTTGTCACAATGTAAAAAAAAATGTTGAGAATCTAGAAAGAGTGCAGAGAAGAGCAACAAAGATGATTAAGGGGTAGGTGGCTAAAACATATAAAGAATGATTGCTGGAACTGCGTATGTCTAGATTAATGAAAAGAAGGACTAAGGGTGACAGGATAGCAGTGTTCCATTATCTCAGGGGATGCCACAAAGAAGAGGGAGTCAAACTATTCTCCAAAGCACCTGAAGGCAGGACAAGAAGCAATGGGTAGAAACTAATCATGGAGAGAAGCAACTTAGACCTAAGGAGAAATTTCCTGACAGTTAGAATAGTTAATCAGTGGAACAACTTGCCTCCAGAAGTTGTAAATGCTCCAACTCTGGAAGTTTTTAAAATGATGTTGGATAATCATCTGTCTGAAGTGGTGTAGGGTTTCCTGCCTAAGCAGGGGGTTGGACTAGAAGACCTCCAAGATCACTTCCAACTGTTATTCTATTTTTTTGATCTTTTGCAATCTGAAACAAATTACAATAATTTAAAAATCATTTTAATTCAGATTTAGACATTGGAATATGGAAGTGGGAATGGCAGTGGAAACTCCATTTGCATCTCAAAATGTGGGACCAATTAGTGTGGGGACAAAATTCAGAGAAGTAGTAAAAATTTGGTGATAAATTCCCCAGTTCTTTACAAAGGGCACCAGGAGTTTATCATGGCAGTTAATTGCTTGGCTGTAAACAGAAGCATCTCAACTGGTTAGAAGGATGGCTAAATGAGAAACATTTAGATTGTGGGCCTGGGTGCTGGTAACATAACATCCAGAAAAGAACTGAGATAGGATTTCATTAACATTAGCCTTCCTTCCTTCCTTCCTTCCTTCCTTCCTTCCTTCCTTCCTTCCT